CCGATCAGTCGTAGTGCTGCCCGATCATCTTCAGATCAAGTGAGTGTGTAGTTACTTTCTTCTAATGCATAATTATGAAGTATTTTATACGAAATACATGTTACGTGTATAATTTTGTGGTTATGTGTGTGAATGTGTATTCACTTTCTTTTATCTCATAGATATGATTTATTCTCTATGAAATATGTGTTATGTGGGTGTGCCTCATCTGTTATGTGGAATATGTATTGAATGAGAATGCAATGGCATAAGATGGATGAATCATCGAGTTGTTTTGTTTACAAGTCTGTATATGTATATATTTTTTGAATGACTTGTAATGTTATCGTTTATGCTTTATGGTCTGTATCGGAACATGACATCCTGAGTTTTGATTATATAATAAAAATGCATCTCTTGATGAAATGCTTTGATAAATATCATTTTATCGAATTTTGTTTTTGGGAACAAATTCCGCAACTCTTTTAAATCAAAAGGATTTACTCTGAAATTATTTTAAAAGCATAAATGAAACCGGTTTTTTCTGGCCGTGATTTTTGGTATGTCACATTATATATATATATATATATATATATATATATATATATATATATATATATATATATATATAGAGAGAGAGAGAGAGAGAGAGAGAGAGAGAGAGAGAAAGAACGTCATGTTTTATGCTTAAGATAGTAAAGAAAAAAATAAGGTAAGGTTGTTAGAAGATTAAGACATACAGTTGTTACTTAGAATTATGTAAATATGATATATACTATGGCTACAAGTTGTATTCTATAGTTTATGTTTTAAATATAGTTATTTGTTATGTTGGAAGTTGTTAAGTAAATTGTATTAAATCCCTTATAATATGTCATAGATATGTAGAGGTCATGATAAGAATATAAACACACAAAATTAAAAATAAGTTTACTTCCAATCAAACGTATCGTAATAAAAATATTTAAAAACTAGACAATAGACATTAAATTTCACATGCAAAACATAAACAAAATGTTGGTCATGATAAGCATATAAACACATAAAATTAAAAATAAGTTTACTTCTAATCAAACATGTTGTAATAAAATTATTCAAAAACTAGACAATAGACATTAGATTTCGCATGCAAAATAAAAACAAAATGTTAATTATCAAGCAACAAAAATGTCCCAGATTCATATAACAAAAATCAAAGTTGTCACAAACAAATAATGACAGGTCCTTACCAAATAAAGCTAGACAAGTCTTATTATCTAAATTTCTACAACAAGACACATTTGTTATACGGAAAACATAAGAATCTAAGTAGGCTAATCATATACCCTTTAAGTCTAAAAGATTTGAATCTAAATAGGCTAATCATTACCTTTTAAATCCAAGAGATTTGAAGTCAAAAATAGGTTTTTTTTATAAGATCTGTTCTCTATTTGGTTATAACTGAATTGTTCAATCGGACAATTTAGATTGTACTATTTGTTTCAGATATTTATATTTTTAAATTGATTTTAAGCTAAAGTAATAATTCACTTTAGCTTAAAATCAATCTAAAAATATAAATATTTTTTAATTATTAGAAACTTTCATCCAAGGTTGTCATGATCGAAATCTTACATCGAGTTGTTTTTCGGTTTGCAAGTTTGGGATCGAGATCCTTAGATCCCACAAAATAGAACATATTTATAATTTATAGTTTTAAAACATGAAAAATATTTCACTCATTCAATTTTTCGTTCAAAAATTACAAAAACTTCAAAATATCAATCATAAGTTACAATACAATATGATAAACGGTAAATTGGTAAATAGTAAAAGAGATAAAGTGATAAGAAAATCAAGAGAATGTAGGATCGGATCGGATCCCAATCCTACTATCCGACTCATTTTTCACACTTAGGATCGTACGATCCTACGATACTACGTCAAGGATCGTGATTTTGACAACCATAATTTCATCCAACATCGAGGCTATATGAATGAAACATACAAAAATTGCATTGCTTATTCAGGGGATATATGTATGAAATATACACAAATTGCACATATTTTGAAACATTTAAAAAGTATGAGGGTTTGATATGTAATTTCCCTCGGCCTATTTTCTATATCCACATCATGCCTTTCCTGCGTCTTAGGGAGAGAAAGTGCAGAACATAAGAGAGGTTACAACGAGAGAAAGCGATATATACATACATGTAAAACACACAACTAAAACGTGTGCTCCGCCATTTTTGAGACGAAAAGGAGCTCGAGTGAAAAATATATGATATCTAGAAACGCAGAAGCGCAACCCTAATTGCGGAATTCTATTGACCGAGGTTATTTTCTTCCATCGTCTAGTAATCTCCTGTGTTTTTTTGTCGTGTTGTGTAATTATTGATTGATGTTTCATGTTGAACTATGTGCGGTCTATTAATTGGTCCAATTTAATGCTATTTTCAAAATTGATGCATGTGAGACTTTTGTTGTTCGATAATGCTTTGTGGCTTAGGTTTGGAGGTTTATAATATGAAATTTTCAAAGTTTTTAGAGGTGTGGTTTACATTTGACTTGCTTAAGACTGAATTCGCTTGTCTATGATCATTCGGCATCTCCGTTTGAGATGTATAATGTCTGCTAAACCTTGGGGCATGTGAAATGCATTTGATTATGCAGTTCAATTTCAAGTTCTATGAAAATCGATTAGTAGACTCCATTTTACGTTTAGTTTTTGAAAAATAATTAAGATCCCTTTTGTGAACTTTTGTTTGAGGTTAATGATCAGCCTTTTGCATCTGAACATTGATTGGAGGATAAGAAACCCTTTTAAGGACAAGTAATATGATAGAAATTTTCAAGTCAAGCTGTAAAGTTGATGTTGTCTGGAAAGTTCCTTGTGAAGATGCTAAGAGTATGTACAATGATTCACATACTTTCCCGAAGTAGTTCTGATAGGCTACTTGATGTTCGCTATAATTGTAATAGGTTTATTCACGTGTAAATTATCTACAATCCGATTCTTGAAGCGAACAATATTGAATTGTTGATGAATCAGGTTTAGTAAATTTGATCATATGGTCTATGGCACAGTTTTTTGAGACTGGGAAGATTATGTAATATATCAAGATTTGCTACCATATTTGCGTGATAATGACTCTATTTTTGGGTTTCTCAATGCAATAGATATACAATCTATTCTTCTCTCCTGACTTTGTGTACTCTTTTCCTTTTTGATTTTGTGTTTCTTCAAAACTTAGAAATTTGCCTTACTCGCTTTAATGATTTAAAACATTTCAAAGAAGAATCAAGTTTAGATCTTTTTTATCGACGATATTTTTGCTTTCCTCAACTTTTATTTCTTTCTGCAGTATTTCAGGTTGATCCAGTGGCCTTATTTATCTTGTACAAGCCTCTGGAACTTGTAAGGTGTGTAAAAGTCTTATCGGCTGTCTTTATTCAAAATCAATCAATGGAGCTTAGGGTTTCAGCCCAAGATAAAGAAATCAGTGATGATGATGATGATCGAAACCATAAGCATCGTAGAAGAGATGAAACAAGGTTACATTCATTAGATGATGATGTATTTACAAAGCCATACAAAAGAGAAAGTAAACCTTCTCAAAATGGGTCTCACTCCAATGAAACATGGAAAAAGTACAGTTATAACCCTTTGGAGAAAGATAAAGGCTTTTCTCATTTTTCGCGAGGACCTTCAGATTTGAACCAGAAACTTAGGGTAAACCAACAATTTTCTGTTGACCATGGTAGTGTTTGGAGTCAAAGTCAACCATTTTCTGTAGGCCCTCATGGTCTTTTTGCAGGGAAGGGTTCAAATTCATGGGGTCCATTTGGATTGGATATGAATATGAATATGATCCATCATCCTGTTGGATTACAAGCAACATTCAGACCACCTTCTTTAAACATAGGACTTACAAGACAACGATGTAGGGACTTTGAGGAACAAGGTTTTTGTCTACGAGGTGACATGTGTCCAATGGAACATGGCATGAATCGTATTGTTGTAGAAGATGTTCAGGTATTGTTTTACCTTTTGGAAATCCAGTTTACTTTACATGGGTTTTAATAATGAGTTGGATTATTTTTGATTCATACAGAGCCTTTCACAGTTCAATCTCCCTGTATCACTTCCTAGTGCAAATCTAAATCTATCTATAGTGCCAGCTGGCACAGGACCTTCACCTTCAACAAACAGCAAAAGCTCACATGGTAAAAATATCAAACATGTTGTTGACTTTTCTGGTGCAGCTGCTGCTGACTTTTATGATCCTGATCAGCCTCTATGGGGTAATGCTTCTCATACGCCAGCTGGACCTCAACCAAATGATTCTTTGTTGTTGGATGCTAGTCCATCTGATAACCCTGATCATGAACTCTTTGTAAGCACGGGTACAAGATCTTATGCACAGGGTACAAGTAGAATGAAAACGGAAGAGAATATGCAAAAAAACGAGAGTGGAAATGGGCGTAAGCCTTCACAAAAGGCACAACGGACGTTATTTTTGAATGGTATTCCACATCAAAACAACAAAAGGGAAACCCTAATTTCCCATTTTAAAAGATTTGGGGAGGTTATTGATATATATATTCCATTAAATAGCGAACGAGCTTTTGTTCAGTTTTCCAAAAGAGAAGAAGCAGAAGCTGCTTTAATGGCTCCGGATGCTGTAATGGGAAATCGCTTTATTAAGCTATGGTGGGCTAATCGTGACAACATACCATTCAAAAGAAAAGATGATTCCCTGCATAATGACATAAATGCCCCTGTCCTTGTCTCTGTGTCTGCTTCTGATCATCCTCCAAAGCCTGTGGCTGTGGTTGCTAATGGCAATAAACAACCTCCTCCACCTTTGCAAAAGAAGCTGGAGAATTTAGAGGTTTTGAAGGAGGAATTAAGGAAAAAACAAGAAATGCTTGATCAGAAAAGGAATGATTTCAGGCGCAAGCTTGATAAACTTGCAAAACAAGTATGTGCTCATTTTGGTCTCTCTCCATTATTTATCTATTTATTTTTATATATGTGTAATATTTCTATAAATGAACGGTGTAGTATTTATTTAACTGTGTTATAAATGTAATTTTTTAATTTTTTTTATGATATAACAATTAATTCGAATTGATTGCATACAAGTTATTATTTTTTGGTTATATTTGTTTGATAATATAATTTATTTAGTAATTGTAACAAAAATAATGTTGTTAGGGTTGGAGAAGGTCTTAATAAAATGATTTTATATATATAAGAATTTCCATCTTGTGGATTTCTTAAACCATATTATGATCTGATAAATTACGAGGGTATATTCTGCAGACTACATTTCTAAAAGGTGAAGTGGCACCTGAACAGGTTGCTAAAAAACAAAAATCGGGAGGTTTAGCTGATTCTACAAAGGCTGCAAGCAGTGATCGTGATACCATTCTACCATCACCTCCTGATGACGTGGCAGCTAATACTAATAGCAGCAAATCTGTGGGTCCCACTCAGCCACAAAATTACAAAACAACCCCCCTTGGATTATCAGCATTGAAAGAATCTCCAAGGTTGAAGTTGAAATCACAATCATCTGTTGTTGTGACTGACACTGTGAGCAATCATCGGTTTAAGCTGGACAATCGTCCAACCGCATTTAAGATCATTCCACCTCTGCCAGATGGCCTTGCTCATGTAAGCGCTTCTATTCTATTCTATTCTCAATTCCTTTACTTTGAAAAATGCTTTAAGGTCATACGGTATTTCTTTTCTTTTAAAGCTTATATATACATGACCTCTTTAGAAGCATTTTTGCAAATACTTGAAGGATCCATGGTAATATACAAAGTTACCTCATATTTTCTAGACAAAACCTCATAAACGGTCCCTGTGGTTTCCCGAAATCTGGGATATAGTCCCTATGTTTAAAAAACGTCATGGATAGTCCCTGTGGTTTCAATTTCGTTTTGTTACAAACTCGATCTAATTCAGACCTGGTTATCAATTCAGAATGGAGAAAGTAATAGGAAAGAAGGATATACCCATCATACATTCCTTCAGGTATCATCCACCATAAAACAACAATCACAAACTGAGTATCTATGGTTCAAAAACCTAACCTTCATCTTGGCTTCAGCAACATTGATCTTAGTTTGATTTGGGATTGTAGATCAACAATCCGAACTGATTAAGTTCCAATTGAACCTTATCAAACACCTTTTTAAAATCCCAACTGAAAGCACGTCCAAAGCTAATCATAGTTTCAATTATTTATTATGAATAAAGCTATTTAGACCTTGATAAAATTTACTCCATCTTTCATGTTCAAGTAAACGACTTATATGAATCAACAAACTTTTTAGTAGAAACATGTGATGTGATTTTCTTTTTTTATTCATTTAATCATAGTATTTGGGGTGTGCATACAGGTTTCTGTTTTGAAGGAACATTTTTCAGCATATGGTGATTTTTCAAAGGTGCAGTTAGATTTAGATGATGACACAATCAAAACTTGTGCCACAATATATTTCACAAGCCGACATGCAGCTGAAAAGGCGTTTTTAAATGGTAAAAAATGGAAAGCTCACAACCTACACTTCACATGGCTAATAAATTCCAATTCCACCACTTGTAAACACCACAACTCAGATTCTTCTTCTAACCAACCAACATCTGTGGTGCTTGAAATTCCTAAAACTGATTATTCCCAAAAACTCTTGCTGTCATCATCATCTCGAGATGGAGAATTGGATAAAAGGGAACTTGTCAAGGAACCAGAACCACAAGAAGAAGAAGAAGAAAGTAATCAATCAGTCTAATTTCAGTAAAGTAAACCCTAGTTTGGTTTGGTTTGGTTGGGTTAGGTTAGGTGTACAGTCAGTCAGTCAGGTAAATGGTATACCAAAGTAGTAGTTTTTTAGTGTTAAGTTTTAGACTTAGCAATTAATTGCTCAATTTTGTAGTGTCTCCTCTCCACTCATCTGTCGTGCTTGCAGTTAAGTTTAGTTTGTAAAGGGAATTCTTAACTGCTCTCTCTCTCTCTCTCTCTCTCTCTCTCTCTCTCTCTCTCTCTCTCTCTCTGGTTTGGGAAAAAATTGTCCAGTTAGTACCAAGGATTATAATTAAGATTCATTTTAATAAATAATTCAGACATAACTTTGATATGCCGTTGCTTTACACGGGCTGTGGCTGTCATTAACATCTCTATAGTCTGCTAAGGCTAATGGATGTATCCTCTCACTTTTTCCCTGCCACTGATAGGCAATAGTCACCTCTCACTCCCCTCAAAATATACAGTATAATAATGTGAAGCATGGAAAAAGAGTGTGCAGTGCTGGGGAACTAACCACACTTACTGATATTTTTCAAAAAATTGGTGATATGTTTGTTTTTAGAAAATGAGCAGGAACATCATTATATGTTCAGTCTAGTTTTAAGAAAATGCGAATATAAATATGAAAATGACTCATCTTACAATGTAGAGAGTTAAGGCCAGGGTGAACAAAATGCTTCCATAAATGAGCATCATATGAGACAATGAAGAATAAATAGAGGTATTGGAAAAGAAGTATATAGATATATAATCAAGCAATACAGAAAAAGATGGAGAAGGTAATAAGATAAATATTCTATCAATTCTTTTATCCAAAGGCAAAGGCAAAGGGTTAATCATTAAGATATAGACTTGACTTTAGTAATTTGTCAGACTCCACTATCTATATATTCAATGCAGCACATCAGATTTAAGTAGAATTTACATTTACCCTATTGTAAAATTAACAGAGAGAAACAGGAACAGAAACAGAAACAGGGGCAAATTAGGGAACAGTCATGTTAGCAAGCAAAAGCTGTTTATCGGGAGGCAGATGGTGCTTCAAAGCAACACAAGTATGATGCATCAGTTTCAACAGAAACACATCATTAGCATTTGCATTTGTAACCCAAGAATCATAAATACGGTTGGTCAAAGTCCACATCAGCAAAACCAGGGGTTCAGCCACTACCCCCCAGTTACCACCATCATCATCATGTAAGAGTAGAGAAGTGAGGGTTAAGGGTAGGTCACTCAATACAGTGTGAGGGTTCACTATAAGAAGAGGCATATACTTGGACACACTACCACACAGCAAGCCCATAAACTGCATACCCTGCATATCAAATACCTAACTTTTCAATATGTAATTTTTTTTTGTGTAATCAAAGTAGGGAATTAGTAAGTTACAGTTATAGGGTAATCTGTGACACAGCTAATTTCTGCTGCATCAACAAGCCACTGTCGTTTCACACTTCCTTCAGCATGTTGCAAAGCCATTACAACTTCCATTAGAACATCCCATATCCCTGACCAAATTTATACAAATCTTATTTTTGTCAACACACACACACACATTGTATAATTTAAATTTTAAATATTGAGAAACTAACCATCAGATCTGGTGTTGAATATATAAGGTTTGAGTTTTGAAAGTTCAATCAATGGAATACAACCAATCTTCACTAGCCTTGCTTTAGCTATCATCTTTTTCTTTGCTTCAAAAAACTCAATGTTTTCTTTTTGACTCAAACTCAAACTCAAACTCATCTCTGCAGGAATCTGTTGTACATGTTTAAACACTTAAACTTAAGGGGTGTTTGGGAATAAGCACTCTAGTCTCTATATAAGCAAATCCCAAACACCCCCTTAATCTGGTAAAACTTATAGTATATAATATGGGTGTTTCTTTTTGACTTAATATAGAAAGTCATGGAAATGAAGCTTTCCCTATTACGTCCTAACTTTGTATAAAACTTACCCTTGTTTATTTTTGGGTTAATATCATAAAAGACCCTATATTTTGTTTTTTTTTTCTAGATTAAACCTCAAATTTATTTGTTTCTTAAAAAAGACCTTGCATTTTTCCAATTATTCTGCTTTGGCCCTTTTAGCAGGCTTACAGTTTTCTTCTGGTTTTAGACATTTTTTTTCTGGAAAAACCCTCACATTTGACAAATTTTCAGATAAAAAATTGGAGAGTTTTTTCGGGAAAAAGTGATTAAAACCGAAAGATTACCTACCTAGTAAACCTGCTAAAAAGGCCAAATCGTCTTTTTAAGAAACAAATAAAGTTGAGGTTTAATCCGGAAAAAACCCAAAATATAGGGTCTTTTACGATATTAACCTTTTACTTTCTCGAATAATAATTATTAATTATTACCTCCAAACAATGTGATAACCACTCCCCACGAGCGTTCCCCAAACATTTTACTGCCTCAGACCACTCCTCCCATTGATAAGTCAACACCGAGCTTTGTGGCAACAAAGAAAACAAGACCTCCATGCAATTCTCAAACTCAACCATGAGTTTTTCAGAATCAAGAGAAGCTTCTTCAAAACACATACGAATTCCCTTCCAGAAGGATTTTCTCAACAGGCTTTTCTGTTCTGGATTATTATTACTATTATAACTTTGATCAGAGGAAAATGGTGATTGTATGAAGTTGGTGAGATCATTGAGTAGCTTTTCAAGCCGAGATCCTGAGAATATTTTTAGTGTATGTGGGAGGTGAGAAAGGATGCACAACTGAAGGTTCATTTCAAGCATTTTGAACCTTGAAAAGTCAAACAGTTCATCAAGGAAGGTGAGTAAAGCATTGAAGTTGCTTCCATGAAACAAAGAGAATACTAAACATTCTTCCCTTAGTTTTTCTTTATAATGAACAGAATCTGATTCGTATCTCATGCATCTTCTGATGAGTGGGCCCCAATCAAGCTGTGGTAGTCTTGGTGCGTGTGTGAGACATCGCAAAACAGTTACAATTGTGTTAAGAGGTAGACTTGTGGTGGTCTGATGTGATGATGCAAATAAAAAAAGTGAAATGTTGATTAGAAGGTGTTAATTTATCTGTTTTTACATGGTTAAATGCAAGAAATAGCAATGTACTTTTGTTTATTTGTGTGTGTGTTGTAGCATATCCTACTTTAATTTCTGTCTGTTACAAACAGCATAGCATTTGACAATTTTCAATCTTTTTTCTTTCTTATTAAGGGATTATACTTTTGAAAAATATATGCAATCATATAGCATTCTACCTAAGTTTTTGTCTTAGTAAGACTTTACACTTTGAAAAACTACACAATTATAACTTTGGATTATTATTATAACTCTGGAAGACATTGCTATACTTTGGTAGATCTTTCTGCTATTTTCAATCTTTTTCTTATTAAGGCATTATTATACTTTGAAAAATATACCAGATAATAGCCCTATAACTTTTTTTCTTATCTAGATTCTAGACACTATACTTTGAAATATCTACCCAATTATAGTAGTAAAAATTGAACTTTACTTTGTATTTGAATGGGATTGTTATAACTGGGTATAGTTTTTAAAGTAAAATGTTGTAATAGGAAAAAATGAAAGTACATTGCTATTTCTTGTGTTTAAACCAATCCTTAAAAATGGACAATGAGCAAGGTAACATGATAATGGATATTTGATGAAAGGAAAAGTAAAATGTTGTAATAGGAAAAAATGAAAGTACATTGCTATTTCTTGTGTTTAACCCAATCCTTAAAAAAGGACAATGAGCAAGGTAACATGATAATGGATATTTAATGAAAGGAAAAGTAAAATGTCAATCAGAAGGCTTTAGTTAACTGTTGAAACTAATGTTATCAGCATAGGTATATTATATACCAAGTAACTAGCAGATCCTTTTAGGGCTAAACGCAAGAAATAGCAATGCACCTTTATTTATTTGTATATTATAGCATCCTACTTTAATTTCTTTTCGTTACAGCATCATACTTACAGTAATTTTTCTTATTAAGACATTGTACTTTGAAAGAATACACCAGTTATAGCATTGCACTTTTTTATTTTATTTTTCTAATTATTCCATTATACTTTGAAAAATCTACCCTATTATAGTAGTGAAAAATGAACATTAATTTGTATTTAGATGACATTGCTATAATCGGGTAGATTTTTTAAGTAGAATGCTATAATGGAAAGAATGAAAGTAATATAATATAATAAACAAATCAACAAAAGTATGTTGCTAGTTCTTGCACTTAACATGATCCTTAAATAGGTAGACAGTGAGAAAAATGTTGATAAAGGTAATTAATTCACTAACATCAGTATTCATTAATAACAGTTATGATAATTAATATAAAAGTAGGTTATGCTTATGCACCTGAGAGTAGTTTAGATTCATCAGCCACAGGCTGAGTTTCAAGACTATGCTATCATCTGGGAAGCTTTGGGATGGGGATGCAGAAGCAGAATTAGGTTTTGCATTGTGAAGATCACTGGACCATATGTAATGTCTAACAAACGAAACCGACCAAGCTGCATACTGCTGCAGTTGTTGGTCATCGGAATTTTGACCAACAAGAAATATATCTTGTATTAATGATGTCAAATGGAGCTCCATAACAGTGTTTGACAACAGAGGACCACTCATATAACAAGATTCCTGTTGCGATTGATTGGGAAACAAGTTTAAAAAAATATAATTCATTTATAACTATAAGGCTGCATTTGTCACAATCTATCTTTCTAGGGCTATTTTTTTAGAGAGGATGACAAGGGCATTTTCGTCTTTTGCACAGACAAGAGATCCTTGTCCCACCTTTTTGGGTGGGATAAAAAAAAAAGTGCGATTTTTTATAACCAATGAAAGTGATGAATTAATTACCTTGTGTTCAGAAACAGATGGCGAAAACGGTAAGGGGCAGTTTAGGAAAAGTGTCCCAGCCCCTGCCCCTAACGCATTCACAACCCCAAGCATTGCACCCAAATGCATAAGAGGAGGTTGGCGATTAGAATAGATTTTTTTAAACATATCTAGTAAATCCTTAACACATTTAGCATCCAACGAATGAATCCCTTCATTCAAAACACATCCAACAAAATTTCCTGCTCCAACACAAGCTGCCATCAACAAACTCTGGCGAAAAGCCCCGGAATTTTTTGTAGAAAGCAGTTCATTAATAAGATCTCTATACACATTTGCAAGATATTCAATTTCAGCACCATCAATCAGTTCTACTTTCTGTGAAAAAGATACTACAAATGGAAGTGCAAGACAAGCCCCCATGGATAGAACTAGTTCCAAATTCTCACCCGTGGTGTGAAGAGGAATCCATGATATAATTAAATCTTTTATCTTTTTAACCACATCAATACGCCCGGATCTGTATATTGCAGGAATACAACTTCCTAAACCAATCACAAGTCCTGAAACACCCCATATATCTTCCTCCAAGTAATCAGAAAAGGTTGGAGTAATATCTGGATCTATGGTATTTGATGGGAAGCATTCAGATAGGGTTTGGAGATCCCTACTTGAAGATCGAGCATATTGATTTATTAATCGACATAAAGTCCTAACAATCTTTCCAAGTAAATCAGTTTCTTGTAAGGAGCCGGATTCTACTTGAATACGTGTAAGAAGATCTTGGCATGAATAACCTAAAGCAGCCCCACAAGCTCCTCTTACAAGAGTGCTTTTGCTAGTACTTGCAACCTTAAAAAAAATGGGTCAGAAATGTAGTCAATAAAATCTTATCCTTCAAAATTTTATACAATTTCTTATCAATATAAATGGATGCGAGTATTTTGTACCTCAAGAAGTGCATTGATGTTTTGGAATTTTTGTTTGTGATCAGTGACATGCAAGCAACTTGAAATGACTCCAAGAGAAATAGCAGCTGACCATTGGCGATATTCATGTTCATGTTGAAATAACCAACTCAGCAGAAATTTTGAGGCACTTGCTTTTGTAGCATGAGCAGAAGGGGGAAGGATCTGGAAAGTCATAATACTGAACATTACTAGTAGTAGTAGTAATTATATCTCAACCCTAACCCGACCCATTTCACTAAACGGGTCAACCGTTTAATTAAACGGGCTGAAAGCTTAAAAAGAAAAAAGACAAAAGTGGCATCTCCATTTTGAGCAAAGGATGATAATATTTACCAAACAAAGTGCACCCAAAGCTAGCCCAATATTCTCAGCAGACCTAGGGATAGATTTCTCAGCCATTTGTCTCATACACTGCATAGTGCATAAGGAATTGTCACAACTGGAATTATTGAGCATAAAAATACCATTTAAAATTAGGGTAAAATCAAATGAAACACCAAACCTTCAGAATATCATCAGCTGCTTTTGAAGCTGTATCCAACACATTGGAGGGCTTCTTAACATCCAGCAACATTACACAAGCTCGCATCCAATGTTGCAAGAAGGGTTTCCAGGATTGAAGTGAAACAAGTGCAACAATAATATTCCTTGACAGCTGTAGTGATGCAGCTATCTCCATTAATGCATTCTCATATTTAGAATGTAAATCTTGCATAACCTGAAAGCTAAACATTAGATATGTTATATCTTATATGTAACAGCTTTGTAAAGCTCTAATGGTTGACCATACTACATGTTTTACCTTTGACCCTCTTTGGGTATTTTCGTCTTTTGTACCGAAGGAAAGATGAAAGAGGGCTGCACCTGGCAGTTCTCCTGCTTTAGTATTAGTCTCTGAAAATGGAATGATAATAAGTTCGAGCATACAAGCTGCATGCATACACACCTAAACAGTATGTCTTTTATTTAGCACATACTAACAAAAAAAATGTAAATAAATACTGGACAAAATTACAGATATGGTCCCTGTGCTTTCTAAGCAAAATTGTACCAATTTTTAGTGTATGTCGTTATTTCAAGGTTTCGTATTGATTTTGGTCCTATTTTCAAGGTTTCATATCAATTTTAGTCCTTATTTTGAGGTTTCATTTTCATATCGATTTTGCTCCTTATTTCAAGGACGTTCTAGGGACCAAAATCAAAAAGAAACCTTGAAGGAAGAACCAAACTGTAATAGGTTTCAACTTTGGGATGAACATGGTAAAAATTTAATAGACACAATTAGATATATTATAGAATATTAGAGGGTATCAATGTGTAATATCTAAACCTATATATGTCGATTGTATGCAACCTAATACAATACAATTGATCGGAACTTTAAAATTAGAAAGCACAAGGACCAATTGTGTAATTAACTCTAAATACTATATATCATTTATATTCTTTGGGATATTTCACAAGTAAACAACATAATAATAGTGAATCTTGTCTTATGGACTCTCCAAGATGCATGAACACATGAAACTTGGACAGTGTAAGGAATATAGACCGGATATGTACATCAATAGTAAATTACATTTTTGGTCGCCAAGTATAGCTAACTTTTTCAATTTTGGTCACAATTTAGTCCTTATTTGAGTCTTGAGATTCTTGTAAAATCTTTAGTCCCTGTTTCAAGTAACATTACTTTTTTGGTTCCCGATTTTGTGCAATCTTGGTTCCAAAACTATAGTCATTTTACTTGGAACAGGACCAAAATTGCAAAAGAAAACTTTTTAGGACTAAAACTGGCAAAAATCAGCTATACTGAGGGACCAAAAATGTAATTACTCTTTGATCAATAAATATAGGCTGGATATCAGAACTGAACTGCTTGATTGTACATTTGTACCTGAAATGCCAATAACCCGAGGAAAGACATCCAGTAATTTCTCAATCTTGTTGGCAGGTAATCTTTTCTCCTTCACTACTCTTCGCCTTGTGCTGAAAATAAATCAGACAAATAAATCATAAACATGACATATAGATATAGTCAGTCACAAACACTCGAAGCTAAAATGAAAACGTTTCTTAACATGTGCTGGTGTGTTATGATCTTCGCTTCAAATCTCTCCATGGCTCCAAGAACTTTGGGGTCAATCTCAGAAACAAGCACTTGTATGTTCTTTTCCTTGAAATCTAGAATCAATTGTTGGAGATGACGTACCTAAAAGATCCCATATATGGTTCAGAGAAAAAGAACGAACAATCTAGAATATTAAATTAATAAGATTGAATAAAATTTATAACCTCATACTGGGTTAACGCCTCAAAAGCAGATTCTCTAGCATTGGCCCATAGAGACCCATGAGAAGGATTTCTTGATGTGGCTACTTCCCATAAAATCTGCAAAACACTCGTTGCATTTTCTGGATATGCTTCTGCATCCATTGCACCCCATCTTAAAAGCAGGCATATGCTGCCCACAGAATAATAATGAGAAAGATTAGAGGAGTTTTTATTAGAGCAGTATAAATGTGTTCACCCTTTTATCAATCTAGCCGCTTCTCTAGTGATGAAATCGTTATACTCTTTTTGGCTGTTTAAAACAAGTTTTTTTTTCCAGTTTCCTGGTTTTGACAGAAAAGCACAATGTAATTTTACCATTTTATTGATTTAGCCACTGAAACTGAACTATTATTTTTTGTCGATTTAGCCACTGGCCTATTATCATAATAACCACAGAAACATAATAGTTCGGAGGCTAAATTGATAAAATGGTGAAAGTATGTTGTGCTTTTCTGTATGTTGCCCTTTTCTATAACAGGTAACCAAAAAAATGATTTTTTAAATGGACAAAAAAGTATAGTGGTTTAATCACCACAGAAAACAGTTAAGTGGTAAATCTACAAAGTGGTAATAGTACAAGTGCTTTTCTATATGTGCCTATAATATTACAAGGGTAATTGTACTATAAATTTCTGTGATAGGTGAAAGGTTAATAGGAAAAAAAAAAAAACAGATAACTTTATGAACCATTATAGTTACCTCAGCTCATGCCATAATCAACCAAAAAAGAGCAATTTAGTTATGTCCCTTATAACGGGAATGCATGTGTTTTAACATATTTTGTAATACATGTTTATGAGAGGAACAACTGTGACTAATCCAATTTTTCCTTGAGCAAAAATAAAATTTTCTAGCACTTTTGAAGATGTTATTTCAAAGCCAATACTTAAAAATAAAAATAAAATAAAATAAAGTTTCTAGAACACATGTATACAAACAAGGTCAATTGGACTTACCTATTTGCAACAACCGGGTCATTCAAGTAGCTCAGGACATACTTTTTTATAACACCCCAAGCAGTATAAAAATCTGGACAAGGTTTCAACACAATTTTCAACAAATCAATTGAGCAATAGTAATCATATATCTACAAATCAATAATACATGCGATTTGATTAATGGATCAAGTAGGTCTTACCAATCACATCAGCTTCACAAAGAAGGGCAAGGCTCTGAATACCAAGAGCTTGAATCATAGCATCTGTGCTCTCAATGCATGCCTGAAGGTTATCAAATGATAAGATATTCTTTTTGGGAAAAAAAAAAAATCAGGAGAAATTAGTTACAAACAATCCCTACCTCAACAGACAAGATAATGTCTACACCCCTGTCAGGATTCTTTTTGCAAACATCATGAACAGTAACAGCCATGCTTATACAAATACTTCTCTCGTGTTTGAACTGTGTGAATGCTTCTGGAAGTAATAAACCCTTACAAGAAGACATAAATAAGTAAAACCCACATCATAAATAAGTAAAAGTTACAAGAAAATTCTTACCTGTAAACTTCCAAAAATACGATCATTGATCTCCCAAGTCTTACAAAGTAGACGCAAAGCAGTAGCATATAGCACTCTAGAACACAATAAAGTAACACTTATTAAAACAGGAAACAATCATAAATGATGTCATGAGAATAGATTATAGTAAAGACAACGTACGGATTTGCATCCTTCTGAAGCATTGGTAAGATTGTCTGGACTACAAGTGGTATCATTGCAGGATGTGACACAAGCGAAGGGAGCATTCTTAAAATTTTTAGCTGCAGAAATTTGGCATTTATAAAAGCAACCTTTGGCTTTGAGGTAAAGTAAAAATTAGTGGCTTACCAAAATGTCATGGAGGTCCATTTCTTCAGATTTACCAGAAAATATATTTTGGTAAAATAAAATTACTAGAAATAACGGAACACCAAGTTTCGGATCCATATTGCCAGTAACTGCCAGGAGATCTACTGCAGAGTTCCCGAGTGTAGGATGCACAATAACAACACTGGCAATTGCACCAAGTAAAGCTGGAATTTCTACAGTTGATGAAACCTAAATGTTACTTGGTAGAAGCAACAGCAACAGCAACAACAACAATTGCTTACCACGTGGAAGTATCTCCTGAGACTGAGATTTAGGAAGGGATGATTTTTGTATTTCAACCATATTTTGACAATACTCGGTTATTGAGTCTGTCCAACTTTTAAACAGATTCTGCTTTTCGCCATCTGATACCAAATGTAGATAAAAAGAACAAGAGGTTTGATCCTGAAAAAACACAAGTCTATGGTCATATTAAGTTGATGTGATGGAAGAAAGAAAAATGACGACATGACCCCTAAAAAGTAGGACTGGAAAGAGGGAATAATTTTAAGCAATAGGATACCTGAAACCACAAATGACGGAATACCCTAAATATGATGTCTTCCAATCTGCTGATACGTGGAAATTTATCTTCTTCCATAAGCACTTCATTTATGGGAGCAACCAGGAAGTTCACAGAGAGCTCTTTTAAGATAATAAGCAACTCGGATGCTGCTTCTTTAATATATCTGGAAGGAGATGACATGAGGTTGATGGCAGGAAAAACAAATAAAATCTCTTCATGCGTATCATTAATGGTATCTGCAGGTGTACAAGGAGGAGGTACGGAAATTACAATATGATGCAAGGATGGGTGAAAACTAAAAGTCAAAAAAGAGAGTTGACCAGATTTACCATTTCTGCTTTTCCACTTTATAAGATCCAGAACCAGTGTTAATATTGATAGCTGTATGTGTTCAATCTCTGACTGAATTAGTTTAACGAACAATGATAACATCACAGATGATGCTTCAGGTATGAATTTCAAACCAAGCTCTGCCTGCACGCCTATTAACCTCCTTGACATGTCAAAGATGCATTCTTCTCCATCAGAATATTTGTGAATATCTGTATACAGTGAAAACACCATCTCTAAAAGTTCTGCTCCGCATAATTGGGCATCATGAATCAGCTGGTGATCAAAGATTAAGTCAAACAAAAAATAACTATAGCTTTTTCATGGGCATTCATATTCAAGAATCTCTCTTGTGTAATAACACCACTGTAACTTATTCCAATCAAACTTCGTTGACATACCACACCATTAGCAGCCAAGTGGTTCAAAACACCAACAAAGGCATCCACAATAGCCTCCGTGAGATAAGAAACATTGGTGACATCCTAGAAAAAATATTATTATTGGAGAAGTAAGTATGTGCAACAATGTTGGTATAAATAGGCTGAAAAAAAAAAAAAAAGGAATGCTTTCTATAGAGCTTCCATGTTCACTCACTTCTGTGTTGTTGCACTGCACATATTTACAGCATCCCATCAACAGCTTGAAAACAGGAATTGCATCTTGAGGAAATGAACAGCATAGTGATGCAATGGAGGATAAAAGGTTCCTTGCTAATGAAGACATTGTTGCTGAAGATGACATTTGTATGACCAGAAGGTTTAAGAATGGTTTTAAGAATTCACAAACTCCCTCCATTCCCAGATGCCTATTCTGGCTAATAAACATAAGCACCTGTCGCACTAGCTCAGATTGAACCTCTATTCGGCAAGAAATAATCTGGCAACCATCAACATCGACACATAATGAGTTTACAACTTATAAACAATTGTGTTTAGGGTCAGCTTATCATAATGTATTCAAAAGTCACCTTAACATAAGGATGAGCTTCCGAAGACTGGAATCGAAAGCAAAGATGATCATTTCTGAACCCTAACTGTACGAGAAAGCCTATAGCTTTGACGAACACGTTAACAAAGCGCGAATCAGAGCCTTCGAGTGCTGACTGGAGTTCCATTAACCCCCGAGAAAGTTTCAATTTGGAGTCCTTTACAAGAAGACATAGCTCTCGGACTGATTGATCAACAACAGCCGGAGAATTTGAGTTCAGGCATTGAGTAACGGCGTGTATTCCAGGGTCGGACTCGGGTCCAGTGAGTGTACTGGGTGATCGGAGCTTCTCGAATATGGAGATAACCGCGAGTTTTTGGAGTGAGGGTTGAGGTAGCCGTGTTCTCTCAAGGAGAGGATAAAAGGAGTCCATTTTTCTCGAGGTAGAGTCGCCGGCGAAACGTGTGCGTCGTTACCGGAAGACGATGGTACACATTTTGGGTTTATGAGGAAAGGCCCAAAACCAGTAAATTTCATTACTCGTCCACAAAGGTACAGTCATCATGAACATTTTTCGTCCTTTTACTATTTTATCTTTTATTATGTATCTAGAATGCAAAGGGTACAAAGCGTACATTTAATATAGAGTTGAGGGCAAATTTGAAATTTTCACAAAATGGTGTAATGTTCGAACTGGCCCACCAACTTTGAGATAATGTACCAGCAAATTTGTATTTTGCAAGCCCAAATCATTCCAATGAAACTGAATATTGAAATTGAACGGCAAAATGAATTTATGTTACATTAGGTCGTGTGGTATGCCCAAGACCAACCGGCTTGCGGTCTACGTGACCATGATCATTTTCGGTGCACATTATTCTGGTCATTCGTTGTCGGGTGTTTTCATTGTGGATCGGTGTGTCGAACACGAGAGACAACGCCCAATCATGGCTTCTTCTTCTCTTAATTTTTCTTTTTCTCTCTCTTTATTCTTCGTTCTTTGTTCGTGGTCATGATTGGTACACCAACAATGGTTTGTGGTTGGTGATGACACTCATGGTTTGTTGTCCGTCCTCGGTATTACGAATGGTCTTAGGAACCCAAAATACTCACAATATCTTATTCCCAAGCTCCACTTGGATTCTTATTCTCAATATGGTCCATACAACCTTGTAACTTGGAAACTGTTATCGAGATGATCTTCATACGAGGTATCTAACAATTTTCTCAGTCCTAATGGGTTTATAAGGTTCGGTTTCATGATATTGGGTTTCAACTCTTGACCAAATTTATTTTTATATTGGTTTATTTCAACGATAGAAATTTGACATATGTTGAAATATACATGACATAAATGTTGATCTTTATAGCGTGATTATGATATAGTGATCGAATGAAAGACATTTTCTCAAAGAAATGATGAAAATGATAATGAACTCACAAAAGCTTGAATGATGTTTTTTTATGTATATGCAATGTCTCTATTTGTATATAGATATAAAATAATAATAATAACAATAAAATGAAAGCTTGAATATGATAGATTAGACAAGACAATGAGATAATATAACATAAAATTCTTGAAAGATTGAACAAGAATCTTAAAAGTTGTAAGAACTTTATACAAAACTTACAAAAAGTTGAAAAGTTTTATCATTGGACAAGATAATGCAATGACCAATATTTTGTTTATAATTTTGACGGTTCAAATCAGTTCAACCAAAAAAAAATCTTGAAAATTAACGAGATGAAATCAATCTCCACTATAAACTTGGTCAAAACATGTAATTAACCATTCAACTACTCAAACACTCTTGACTATAAAACATGGGTGATAATTCATGAACAAATTGTAACGTTTTAAAAATTTCAACCAATTTAAACTTTTTAAAAACAACCCATTTTCATTAAGTTATTACAAAAAAGTTTTCAATACATTTGTTATCAGAGTATTCCCAGAATCATATCATAAAACATAAACATGATGAGCGGTACAATCACGCATTTGCCTTGCCACAGTCTCCTGAAGTACCTGAAACATTAAACCACAACTGTAAGCCCGAAAGCTTAGTGAGATACCCCCAAAATATCAACCACATATACCATACACATAACATATCATATCATAAACAGAACAAAAAGATGTTCATACAACTCGGCAAGTCCATATTCCAGACTCGGCGAGTCCAATGCAATCTTCTTGTCTCAAGAACAGATTCGACGATTTGTTCATACAACTCAGCGAGTCACATACTAGACATGCTCATATGATGAAGGAGAACTCAACGAGTTGTTCATACAACTACTCGGCGAGTCGGATGAAATTAGATTGGACGTTAGTATGGAAGAAGAACTCGTCGAGTTTTCGCCAAACTCAACGAGTTGAAGCGGGTAGAGGATTAGAAAAAAGGTGTTAGGGACTCGGCGAGTTGGCGGACCAACTCGGCGAGTCCGGTCAACTAATAAGTTGACTTTGACCAGGATGTTGACTTTGACCAGGGGTAAATAGTAATTTTACCCTGAGATTAGTTATCAGTATTTGATTTAGTGTTTATGGGATTTGTAGCCGGGAAGTTCCGGAGCAGCAGTTAGACAGTTCCAGATTTAGCATCTCAGCAGCCAGCGTTACAAGGTGAGTTTTCCTTCCAGTAGGAACAGGTCTACGGCCACAGTGCCGACCCGTTTAGTCAACAGTAGTTTCAGACTTCGGTCCGATGTCGTAGTTCAATGTGCTTGATGCCTTTGTGATTCAAGCATGTCTTTGTGTTATGTGTTCTGGAATCTGGACTTCGGTCCGATGCACCATACAGTTATGTGTTATGTTAGTAGATATGATTATGCTATGCTATGTTCAGTTAGTTTTCGGACTTCGGTCCGATGCAGTTTCCGGACTTCGGTCCGATGCAGAGGGCAAGGCCCTGGATAGTTCCGGACTTCAGTCTGATGCAGTTTCCGGACTTCAGTCCGATCCAGAGGGCAAGACCCTGGTTAGTTTTCGGACTTCGGTCCGATGCAATTTTCGAATTTCGGTCCGATGCAGTGGGCAAGGCCCTGGTTATTTTTCGGACTTCGGTTCGATGCAATTTTTGGATTTCGGTCCGATGCAGTGGGCAAAGCCCAGTATGTGCTTTATATGTTATTGTATGGTATGTGGTAGTTTGGGGGAGCTCACTAAGCTTTGTGCTTATAGTTTCAGTTTTGGTTTCAAGTACTTTTGCTAGCAAGGGGAAGAGCTCGGGATGATGACATGGCACACACCACAGTTACCGTTTTATCCTGGGAGTTTTGTTCAACTATTTTGATATGATATTGACTTCAGTTTCGAATTGATACATTTACCGTGACATTTTGAGACATACAATATATGGTTTTATTATATAACATTTGATGTTGTGGTTTTTGGTAATGTTAAAACAAAAATTTTTGGGTTGTATTTTTGGGATGTTACACAAGGGTACCAATCATAGATCTTAGTTATATGCAACATCTTAAACCATAAAGTCATTAACTTAGCGACTTATCATGCCCCAAATGAACCCAAACCGGAAATATAACACTCTACTTGCATTAAATGAACTCAAACTCATGCATGGATGGTTCCAAGCTTCAAAGATGGAAACTTTATGACTCTATGACCAAAACAACACCAAGAGTACCACCTCTAAGCTTCAGAAATGATAATAATCCACAAGATCTCATCTATGAGACCAAAAAGGGTCCAAAAACTCAACAAAGGAGATCTAAGCTATAACACAACAAGTTCAAAGATTTATACCTTAAATGAGTGCCAAATGATGATGATAACTCAGATCTTCAAGCTTAAGCTCCAACAACTCTTCTTCACCAACTTCTTTTTCTTCCTTCCAAGGCATCAAACTACCAAAAATACAGTCCACAAGGTCAAGAACACACCAAGATGCTATAGGGTTCGATATTAGGGTTTCTAGAAAATAGAGGCCAATAAGGAGGCTAACACTTGGGACTTAATGACATTATATAAGGATTGAACCAAAGAAATTAGGGTTTTGAGTCTGATCACGTACGTTGCGCATACCACCTTGTACCCTGCGCGTACGTGCATGCCTCCCCGTTTCTTATGATCCATCTACGCCCTGCGTACACCAGGCTTACGCCCAACGTACGACCTCGACTACGCCCACACATAAAGGCCCAATACAACTTAGCTAATTTAGAAAATTAAATAAATAATTAAATAAATATTACCTTAGAACCATCGAGTGTTACGTTAGTTGTATTTTGATTTGTATTGGATGATTTTTTTGGTAGTTATAAAATTAAAATTTAGATTTGTTAATGTTTGTAGGTGATGCAAAATCCTGTCGATTTGTGCTTTAGAGAGAAACCAAGTATCTTAGAGAGTTTGAATGACAAAGTAAATAAAATTTAGTGTTTCTATCTTTAAATTTCTAGAGTCGACTTTAATATTGTTGATTTTTGAAGAAGATGAATGTGCAAAGGAATGAAATTCTAGACTTTAGATTCTTATTATGTTTTTCTTTTTCTTCAATTCGTTAGTGGCTTACAAAAAATATTGTGTAACTTTCGTTTTTCGCTCAATTGAATCGCCATATTTGCATGTAGAGTTTGGGAAGACGAAGACCGACCGCAACCGCTGCTCATCTCGTAGTGAATCAGTGTTTTTATTAAGCCGTTTTTAATATGTAAGTTCATTCCCCCCTTTATAATAATTAGGTTGAATGCAAGTAATAACATCTTATATTCATTGCATTAATGATTTTTTAGCATAAACTGACATCCCCATATTTAAGTTGGATGTTGGTGTGGTGTAGAGTTGCATACCTCGAGAAGTGGAAGTTATATTTGATGATTGTGATCTGTAAGCAAAAGGATGAACTACCATTCGTCTACACTTGGGAAAACACCTTATGGTATGATCCATTTGTAGATTTTGCCCCTTTTGCAGATCGTTCTTAAATATGGAATTCTCCGTTAATATGCTTACTTGTTGTGTTTAATATGCAACTTTTGGGGAAAGCTGGCTTACTACACCACAAAAAGTACAACTGTTATACATATAAGGGGTATGAAGGAGATGAGCCCGTAAATACCTTTGTGAAGCTTTGAAGAGATGAAATAAGACTAGGCTAGAGCAGCAACATTGGTGGAGAAGAAGATCACAATATTGGTTTCACCTTCTGCCATTGATGACCACAAGAAACGCACCCAATAAAAGGTGACGATAATAAAATACTAAAATTAGCAAGAGTCACGTTTTTATCAAGAAAACTTTTATTTGTACCCTATTACCCACACCACAACCACTTTTATCAATAAATTATGGTAGCTATGCATAAGAGATCAAGTAACAAGTCTATTTCTCACCTTCTAAATACTTGTAACTTTTGTCCCATTAACTTTAGTCTAGGTCATATTCATGTATATTTATCATTTAGCTTATTGAATATTAAAGTTGTTTTAATGACTAATCCATTAGATTATATAACTCTTTATAATAATGCAGACAACAAAAGATTAAAAGATCTATTGCAACAATGTGATAATCGAACATGTGCTAGTTGTGT